CACCCTTACTACCTTTTCATCACCATCATCATCACCAAAACAATCACAATCACAACAACAACCACCTCATCATCGGAGAATCTCAAACTGCAGAACAGCTTGAATCTTTGGAGAAGGCGTCGAGGTTTATACTGATCACCTACTGAAGCTCTTCTCTAGCCGCCCTTGACCTAAAACTCTCTGCTGAACAGAACTCTCCTGACCTTGTAACTTTGGCGGCGGTGGTGTGGTGGACTGGAATTCTGGCCTGGCCCGGCGCCACCACCACAAACATCAGCAGAAGTCGTCAACAACGTCGTCGTCGTCGTCGTCGTCGTCCTCAACGCCCCGCAAAGATGTCGTCGTCCATCAGGCGTCGCCTGTACCACGTCCTGGACGTGGTCCTCCGCGTGCCGCCCATCTTCATCATGGACTCGCTCTTCGTGAACAACATGAAGCTGTCGCAGCTCTACGAGACCTTCATCAGCAGCACCGTCTTTGACCCGCAGTACCGAGGAGGCAGTGCCTACGCAGGTAGCCACCACCACCCGATGCAGTCAGCACACCCCGCTGTCGACCCCAGTGATATCCACCATAATAATAGTTCTACTAGTGATGCAACGATAGCAACCACAATCAACTACTCATCCTTGCTCAACAGCAGCATCGGCGGCGGAAAGACGAGCCATGAAGGAGGAGGTGGCGGAGATGACCTTCTCCTTCTAATCAGCAACACCTCCTCCATCTTTCTGGTGGCTGCCTATGCAATCGGTGAGCAATGCCCTACTATTGCCCCGGGTTTTTTGAGTTTCTAAATTTGTGTTTCCTCCTCCCTCCACACAGTTCTCTCCATCTCCTTCGCCCTCTTTCTGCTTACCACTAAACACCTGATTCGCGTCTACAAGTGGCTCACCGCCGTGGCCATCGTCTGCTGGTCGTACTCGCTCAACGAGAGCTACGTCAAGTACATCGTCGAGTCGAAGGAGAGGAGGAGTGGTGATGATTTCAGCTTCCAGCAGGACTTTACCACAAGTACCACAAGCACATCCTCCTCCTCCTCCTCCTCCTCCACTACTTCTAGCACGACCTATCCGGAGGGCATCTTCTACACCTTTGTGACGAACTACATTTGCCAGGTACGGGATTTTTGGATGGGTTTTCATTTCTAAAACACCTCTTCTCTTCCTTTCAGGTAATGCTCTCCCTGATCTTCGTCTACGCCTCGGGCCACTTCAACCGCCGCTTCGTCGCCTCGGTGGCCGCCTTTCTCCTCCTCCTCCCCTGCTTCACCTCGCTGAACCTCCTCTTCAGCAGCCGCTTCCTGACGCTCCTCCCGGCGGCCCTCTTTGCCGTCTCTTTGATATACATCCTCGTGGCGCTGCTGCTCAACGTCCGGGAGATTCTCAACGCCCTCTACCACCAGTTCATGTGGATCAAGACCTTTGTGCGGAACTACGGCCTGTACATACTGCTCGAGTCGCAGTGGACGCGGTTGCATGTGCCTCAGGTAAGCTTTGGAGGAGCTGCGCTTTTTAGAGTTCTATTTTGTTTGTTTACCTTTTTTACTCTCCTCCCCAGGTGCTTCGCGTCTTCTGGCTTACGCGACTCACCGAGCAGGCCATCTACATTATGCTCGCCTCGAATGAGACGACCTCGGCTGGCCTGGTTTCCAGCGTCGTCGGCGAGGCTGTCGTCGTGGGAAATACAGCCGCCACAGCCGCCGCCGCCTCTTCCGCCTATGCCTTCTCCTCCTCCTCCTCCTCCTCCTTTCTCCTCTTTGACAGCGCCGCCCTCCTGGGCAGCCTGCGCTACCTGCTCGTCCGTGGCTGCGAGACGGTGATCGCCGTGCTGGGCATGACCAGCGTCCTCTCCGGCATCTCCCACCAGATTGGCTGCGCCATGCAGGTCTTCCTCGTGGTGGAGGACCCCGAGGACCGCTCCATTGGGGCCGTCTCCGCCATCCTCTTCTTCATCCTCGCCCTCCAAAATGGGCTCACCTCGCTGGAGCCGGAGAAGCGCTTCATGCGCCTCTACCGCAACTTCTGCCTCCTCTTCACCGCCATCCTCCACTTTATCCACAACATGGTCTCGCCGCTGCTGTTCTCCCTCTCCGCCTCGCGCAACATGTCCGTCAACCGGCACGCCCGGGCCCTCCTCGTCTGTCTCTTTCTCTTCACGGCGCCCATTCTCTTTCTCTACTACCTCTGGGCGCACCACTCCCTCTCGACGTGGCTGCTGGCGGTGACCGCCTTCAGCATTGAGGTGGTGATCAAGGTAAGAGGCAGTGTTTGGTTTAGGGTTTTTAGGAATTTTTTAACTTATGTTTTTTCCCGATTTCAGGTGGTCATCTCCCTTCTGATCTACACCCTCTTCATGGTGGACGCCTTCCGCAGCTCGATGTGGGAGCAGCTGGACGACTACGTCTACTACATCAGGGCCACCGGCAACTCCATTGAGTNGACCGCCTTCAGCATTGAGGTGGTGATCAAGGTAAGAGGCAGTGTTTGGTTTAGGGATTTTATGTGTGTGTTTTAACTTATGTTTTTTCCCGATTTCAGGTGGTCATCTCCCTTCTGATCTACACCCTCTTCATGGTGGACGCCTTCCGCAGCTCGATGTGGGAGCAGCTGGACGACTACGTCTACTACATCAGGGCCACCGGCAACTCCATTGAGTTCATCTTTGGCATCTTCCTCTTCTTCAACGGCGCCTGGATACTGCTCTTTGAGTCCGGGGGGACGATTCGCGCGCTGATGATGTGCATTCACGCCTACTTCAACATCTGGTGCCAGGCGATTGCCGGTAAGTGGGAGGGGGAGGGAGTTTGTGTTTTTAGATTGACCTTATTTAACCTGTTTGTTCTAGGCTGGAAGACCTTCATCAAGCGCCGTCACGCAGTGCACAAGATCAACTCGCTGCCGCAGGCGTCCGCCGAGCAGCTGCGCGCCTTTGAGGACGTCTGTGCAATTTGCTATCAAGAGCTGACCACGGCCCGCATTACCCGCTGCAATCACTACTTTCACAGGCAAGCCTTCCTTGTGAATTTATTTTGAACTGTTTTCACTAACTACCTTTTACTTTCATCACTTCATCACCACCACCACCAGTGCCTGTCTCTCCAAGTGGCTGTACCTGCAGGACACCTGCCCACTTTGCCACAAGACGCTGTACAACGTCCAGGAGACGAACAACGAGTCGATCAGTCTGCTGAACAATGACCAGGAACAGGAGCAACAGCAACAGCAGCAGCAGCAGCAGCAGCAGCAGCAGCATGAACATCACGATTAGAACGCCTAGTGATAACTACTTTCTTTGTTTGGAAACACTCTTTTTTCGTTGTTGTGGGGAGGGAGGAAGGAATCTTTTACTACTGAACAGACTGAAACTGAAACACACACACACACACCCAACCGACTGCGCCTAACAGACTGACTGAAAGAAAACACCTCCTTTTCCTGCTCTGATTTTGTTTTGGAAACCTTCTACACCTCCATCACTCACTTTCTCCTTATAACCTTCTTCTTCTCCTCCACCAAGTGCCCCAGAAGGCGCCAGTCAGCCCTTCCCTTTCCTCCCCTTTCCTTCTCGACAAGACTGTGTCACCTCTCTCTCTCTCTCTTTCTTCTCTACCTTGCTGTCCTCCTCCTCCTTACTATTTTCTTCG